AGCTACGATACGTCTTTTGAAAGTCTTAGATCTGTCAGCTCATGGCGCACATCAGCGCTGCGTTTCAATCTTTGATGGCGCGAAGGAAAACCAGTCCGGCCTGAGAGATCGAAGCGTGCACGGTAGCATCCTCTTTGCTACCTCCCCTAGAACGCGACAGAAGCGAGCAAGACAGCAAGTGTCGATTACACTGCTGAGAAGAGCACCGTGCGTGGACGACGGTCCATCAGCGGACGGTCTATTGTGATTACGAAGCATCCGACGAAAGTGTAAGGGTATGAAACACGCCAGATATGTCACAGTGTTTGAAAGAAAGCAGAGGCAGGCAAAGGAGCGTGAGGAAAAGGAGCACGGAAAGGCGCTTAGAGAATGAAAATGAAGAAAGAGCGTGAGACGGCTACACCAATGAACGTCGTATATGCTGTCGCTCAGCCGAAAGCACCGCGGTAGCGTGGCCAAGCAGAATCACGGAGGCGACGAGAGCATCGAGAAAAGCTTTAGGTGTTGTATCCAGTATGTAAGGCCGCTGGGTCGGTGTGATTATAGAGACTGCCGAGCAGAAAGGTTGACTTTTGCGAGGTCACCTTCTGTGAGGCTCTCGTGGAGGTGTATTAGGCCAGACACGAGGGCTTACGAGCGATGACACGCCTTGCGACTGGCTCAGAGCGCTATCCAGAGAAGGCGGTCGGCGTGAGCCATCAACAAGCTCATCTGGCGCTTGCTCGTTGTTGTCCTGGCTGTACACGCTGTCAATGGTTTGCGGAAGCGGCTCGGCGTCGGAAAAGTCGATGGTGCGCGACGCAACAGAAGGTCGACCTTTCTCCCCCGAACCTGATGGGAATCGAGAGCTCTTGCCGGAGCTAGACCTGTTGAAATCCACAACGTCCAATTCTCCCGACTCGGCACCCTGACTCTTGTTGGAGTGAGAGCTGACGGTACGGTGACGATCATGCACCGCCTGAGGTGCGAGCGTCGCTTGGTGTTGCGCATTCTGCTGCGGACGTCTAACGAATAGCTCGGCGAAAGATTCGGTCGTGTCGTCGGCGGTCCACAGTTCGTGCGGTGCCATGCTTCGAGCA